TGTTATCAATCAACTCCTTCTGAAACTATGATAACATCTTATTTCCCAAATTCGCACTAACCATGTATTTTTTCAACATTACCAGCATTATTCCAAAGTCATGAACTTACAAGATCAATTACCTTTTACTGAAGAAGGCTAACAAATAGCTTAACACTGATTCCTCTGTGGCTTAACAATTTAATTACTCATATGTTTTTTTAAATTCCTTAAGCGATTAGTATATTCTGGTCAGTTGAGTAGATACGGCAAGAATGAATTTATATTTGTGTAGTTTTGTAAGTTATTGTGACTATTTATTGATTCAATATGATAGAAATTGAGAAAGGGGCAGGCATAATTGTTGTGACCTACTGCTTTTGGTATGTGTTTATCGGGATTTTATGTGAAATAATCTTGTAAATTAACAAGAGTCTGTATTAAGCAATAACCACGTAGTGATTTATATAAGTTGTTGTGTTAAAAACTCGAAAAAGTTGGAAGCATTTTTGCGGTTGTATTGAAAAAGGTTAACCTTGATAACTTTGAATCGGTATAATATTTTGATAATAGTTTAATAAGCGTGTTGTCCTTTGTGTTATATTGAAAGCAATGTAAAGTAAGTTTTACTAATATCGTATGTGTTATTATTGTGAACTGGTCGCAACGACATATTATATTTACTGTAGGTTTAAGATCAACGTACTTTTGACATTCGATCTTGCTGTCATCGATCAGGTATTCCGAAGAACACAAGTCAATAGAGACTTTCAAAAGTACAATGAAAGCTCTCTAAATGGAAGGCGTAAAGCTTTGTATGCGATTCGTAGTAAATTTAGTAAGTAAATTTACGAAATATCTGATCGATGTTTTGCGTCTTAATATAAATATTCTCTATTAATAATATGTTTTGGTTCGATTATGATTTTTATTTTCACCTTTCTAGTCACGAGTAACGACGAATGTTTTGTTGTCATTGGAAATGTTTTTCTAAACAAATAAACATGCGTAAGATATTTAATTTTGTCCAATATGTTTGTTGAAAATAATTAAATATTAATTAAGCAATACCACATAAATTTATTCAGTATCTTATGAGAGGTTGCAACACCAAACAGGGTCCCGTAGTACTTACTATCTATACTATTTTTTACCGGGCCCTTAAATTATGATTGAAAATCGTATGTCATTGTTAAGGCGTCTGAGCTAATATTATTTTGATGGCTTTCATCGATATAACCAAAATCTATTAATCAAAACTGGACATAATAAAAATTAAGGCTTTGGTACAATTAACGGTAGGCAGCGACTTGGCGCTAGGCAGCAGCTTGGCTCTGCCCCTGGAATTGCTGAAGTCCATGGGCGACGATAACAACTCACTCGACATCAAATGAGCCGTATGCTCGTCTGCCTACGAGGGAAAAAAAGATAAAAAGAAAAAAAAATCGTTGGTAAAGATAAATAATTATTCTATTCTAAAGATACATAAACGGAATACGTTTGCTGTCCGTATTTCTTCGACTTGCGTACACTCTGTCTCAGGTATAATTCTGATAACAGATACTAATTGCTGTGTGGACACAGGTTTATTTTTATTACAAGTAAAATCGGTGCACGAGCCCACCTAGTGGAATAGTTTTCTGTCAACACAGACGACAGAACGTGGCACCCACGGAATTTGAAGTCCAAGTTCAATTATGTTCTGTAACTGCGGCCTTAGCCATCAAACCGGAATGGATAAATCCCAGGCCACAGAAATAAGCAAGATTGTGGTACCTACCCATGCTGAATACGCCATAACAGTAAGTGCAGGTTAAGAGTCCACCTAGTGGAATAATTTTCTGACAACACAGAACGTGGCACCCATGGAACATGAAGTCTAAGTTCAATTATGTTCTGTAACTGCGGCCTTAGCTATTAAACTGGAATGGGTAAATCCTAGGCCACAGAAATAGGCAAGATTGTGGTACATACCCGTGCTGAATACGCCACAACAATAAGGGCAGGTCAGAGATCCCAATAAGCTTTATTACTGGTGGTAGGAGCTCTTGTGAGTCCGCACGGGTAGGTACCACCACCCTGCCTATTTCTGCCGTGAACCAGTAATGCGTTTCGGTTTAAATGGTGGGGCAGCCGTTGTAACTATACTGAGACCTTAGAACTTATATCTCAATGTGGGTGGCGCATTTACATTATAGATGTCTATAGGCTCCAGTAACCACTTAACACCAACTGGACTGTGAGCTCTTCCACCTATCTAAGCAATAAAAAAAAGCTGGTAAACTCAGAAAACGTTGCTGCCTATTCTCTGATATATCTCTTGGTCGTTTATATAGACACCCACGAGAAGAGATCGCGCGATAATATTCTTGAGTTCGATTCCATTCGATGTGGGAGTTAGAGCTCTAGTTTCAGTGAACGGTTTTTTTGTCTCACCGTTTTTTCGCTAAACCAATAAAACGCAACAGAAAATCCCAGATTAATAACGAAGAGTGTGGTATTTTTGATATACTCGTAATACGTGGATTTTTATAAAAAAAATTGAGATTATTAGTAGAAAAACATTTCCAATCAAAACGAAAACAATTCGATCGATGAAATGTGACAAAACGCGAACGAACACCATACTAATATTAATGTTTAGCGTATCGATAATAAGAATGAATTCCTATAATATTATTAATTGTAAGTCTATGTAATATGTCATAACAATAATAGAGTTTTATTGATATTAATAAAAAACATATTTAGATTCGTAATAAAATACCGTACGTTTGCCACGGATTATGATTAAGATTGTGCACTATGCAAAACAGTAAAATATATTCTAGTCCCTAAGTCATAGCTCAATACATTATGAGTTTGTAAAGCTAAACAGTAATGATATAAATTAGCATTTAAGTTTATACATGTAAGTTCCATTTTGTAATGTTAACATAATAATTATCTAAGGATTAATAAAAATGAGCACTACTATAATTATTATAAATACACTAACGACTTCTCGATGCTAATATTGGAATGTATTATAAACATGAACTATAAATATTAAATGTTACGCGTTAATAATAAAATTGAAGTGTTTTATTTATTCTGCAATAAGTCTTGAAATCCTTTTTTTTTTTTTTTTTTATTGCTTATATGTGTGGACGAGCTCACAGCCCACCTGGTGTTAAGTGGTTACTGGAGCCCATAGACATCTACAACGTAAATGCGCCACCCACCTTGAGATATAAGTTGTAAGGTCTCAGTATAGTTACAACGGCTGCCCCACCCTTCAAACCGAAACGCATTACTGCTTCACGGCAGAAATAGACAGGGCGGTGGTACCTACCCGCGCGGACTCACAACAGGTCCTACCACCAGTAATTACGCAAATTATAATTTTGCGGATTTCACTTTTATTACACGATGTTATTCCTTCACCGTGGAAGTCAATCGTGAACATTTGTTGAGTACGTATTTCATTAGAAAAATTGGTACCCGCCTGCGGGATTCGAACACCGGTGCATCGCTTCAACACGAATGCACCGGACGTCTTATCTTTTAGGCCACGACGACTTCAAATATATATAAGTATATAGGAGTTGTTTTTTTTTGTCATTTTAAGTATTTCGTTGACTGCTTTAATGCAGTATCATGATTTCGAAATTATATGGTAAATATTCACTACTAAGATAAACTAACAGAGTAATATTTTTTTTTATCTGTGACAAATCGTATTTTTTTTATTGCTTAGTTGGTTGGACAAGCTCACAGCCCACCTGTTAAGTGATTACTGGAGCCCATAGACATCTACAACGTAAATGCGCCACCCACCTTGAGATATAAGTTGTAAGGTCTCAGTATAGTTACAACGGCTGCCCCACCCTTCAAACCGAAACGCATTACTGCTTCACGGCAGAAATAGACAGGGCGGTGGTACCTACCCGCGCGGACTCACAACAGGTCCTACCACCAGTAATTACGCAAATTATAATTTTGCGGATTTCACTTTTATTACACGATGTTATTCCTTCACCGTGGAAGTCAATCGTGAACATTTGTTGAGTACGTATTTCATTAGAAAAATTGGTACCCGCCTGCGGGATTCGAACACTGGTGCATCGCGCTCAACGCGAATGCACCGGACGTCTTATCCGTTAGACCACGACGACCTTTTGTTCTAATCTAGTTCGTTCTCGCTTACAGAAGTTCTTTAAAGATGTCTATAAGTTACATAATGATGTTTTTCTAAATTCTAAATTGAGATAGAAATGAATTAATCACCTAGATTAATAAATAAATAAAAAACTCGGCAATCAGAATTAGTTTTATGAATTTGAGTCCTACTTAAGACATTTAAAGGATGTAAGGAATTTGAAGGATGATATGTCGTAGCGTTCAGAAAATATAACTTTTATTTCATAGCACGATAGCACGTAGCAAAAATTATCACTGGTTAAAAAATATCATTAATAAAATCTATTTTAAGTCAAGAGCTGCGTAGGCATAAAGTATATATCTCAATCATCCTTATAAAGATCTCTTAATAGTACAAGGAGGGATGTAAGCTGAAATATCAATCCAACCTTCTATTCTTGAGCGAAATTTCTATCGTAAAATGCCATCACATGTAACCTAGTAACAAATTTTTCAGTCAATTACCATTATATTTAATTTCAAGGTATAACAATTTTAACTAAGAAAATGAAATAAGAAAACAGCTTTAGTCTTTTGTAATTTTAACACAACCAATCACAATATTTACTAATTCAAACAAACGATCTCATTGATTTGATGAATTCCTTTTCAAATACACATATTCCAATTTGACGTTTACAATAATACAGTAATCAGAAAATTCAATAATGGTAATTTTGAAAACTCCCATTAATTTTGCATTTAGTTGTCCGTGATCGCGTTACTCTTTAATGAAATAATGGATACGACGAAATCGATATCAGGAGCCATTGTAACAATTACTCCATCAACTCTCAAACGTTATCCTAGATTACTATACAAACCAAATTCTAGACTGTTTAAATAAAGCTACTACTGAAAAGGGACCACGGATTTAACCCTGTATCCACTTTCGGCGCTGGAGCGTTATAATAACCTTGAGCTAAGTCCACTAAGGATATAGGACATTCGTAGATGTCGCAATTTTGCAGCAGCACTCCTAGTCGATGCGCTGAGTCGTAAACAGCGTGCTCTATTGGCTCCGTTGAAAGCACTTTTGACATTGGTAAACTGAAAAAAGATTTTTTTGATTTTCAATTGTTTTAAAAATTGAACAAAGAAGCCGTGTGCGAGAGCGGTTGTGTCCTATGTAAATGTTCAGTGATCGATAGCATTAGAATCAACAGTATCAAATTAGATATAAGCTTGGCCTTTGTTGCAGGTGAACAATGACTTTTAGACAAAATCAGCTCATACGACTACTTATTAACTGATATAGTTAAGACAATAGTAGCACGGATCCGTACTCAGAATATATAACTAGTATAATTATATTAAAATGATCACATGCTCAGTGAGAAAGTGTTTACTGGATCTTTAGATGGAATAGCTCATTAGAATACCAGCCAACAGGAGGGAGGGAAAACTGGAGCTCATAGGCACATATGCTGTTATCTAACTCGAAATAAGAGACCAAGGTATTAATAATTGTATCGTGAAATTGCTGGCCCACCATTAACGTCGATGACATATTTGTTTTGCGACAGATATCCGTGCATACTTGGAATCTCATCTTTATGGGATGTAGAAGCTATCAGTTCAAATTATGTTTGAAAAAATATATTTATACAACTAAGAATTGACCATCTATTTTTATTTAAAAGTTAGCCAAACGGACTCTCCGTGGCGAGGGTTAACGATTTGACAACACCAATATTTCCGCCAAGGTAGGCTTAGCAATAGACTTATTTGCTTTTAGTGGTGACCAAAACAGACCAGTTAAGGTTTCTACTTACGTAAATAATGCTCTAAACATTTCTTCTATCATGTTCTCTCCATGTGGCACTATCCTCTGCGTTGTTTCACATAACGTTTTCAAAATACAACTGCGACCGTTATAACCCATTCTGTTAAAATAAAAAAACCAAAAATGCAACATTTATCTGGCCAGAACTTTTATAGCAATAAATTACCTCACATCTATCATAAGCCAAAAATCTTCAGAACTTGATAGGCAATGTGGTTTAATTGATTTTTTTATAGTCACGAACCGTTGTTGATAAAAATACAAGTTGTTTTTTTTATTTCCTAAAGAATACAATGGGTCGTCTAAAACTGAGCCCTAACCGCTTAGCGAAAATCCAATAAAAAGAAGCATTTGTGTCGCTAGAATGTCCAACAATATATTTCAATATGTCGACACATTAATGTTGGCCGTTTTCGTCGTCTGAATTATGAAGTAAAATAAAAGACGTTCACGAACATAGCATTTTTTTTCTTATCGCTAAGATAAGTGGACCAGCGCACGGTGTTAAGCAGCAGGTGAACCATTTTGGCATACCAGTAGCCACCGGAGTCCATAGATATCAAAAACATAAATGCCACAACCCACCTTGAGGCATGACCACATTTCAGCTTACAGTAAAATGGCTGACCCACTCTTCAAATCAAAACGCATTATTGTTTCACAACAGAAGCAGGCAGGGTGGTGGTACAAACCCATTACATAAGTTATTTTTTGCAAGTTTTCTTTTTATTACACGATGTGATTTCCTTCATGGTGGAAGTGAGGAGTCGTGAACATTAGGTAAATAAGTATTTCATCAGAAAAATCTGCCTGCGGAATTCGAACACAGCCTCAGCCGCATCCCTGGATACGAATGCACTAGGCGTCTTATGCCGCAGACCACGACAACTTCACATATTTCTGTACTGAATAATTGAAAGCATCCACATGTAACGTGTTCGAAGGGTACTTACTTATCCATGATAACTTCTAGTTTCTGGTACAACTCGCGTCGGTTCCTCCTCAGAGCGGCAGGCTTCCTTTGCTTTTTGCGGAAGAACGCTGCGGTTTCTGTTGTATTTGGCAACTCATATGCGATACCCCAGTTGAGGCCGAATGTGAAGGTGCCGGGTGATGAGGATGGTGACGGTTGGCCTATAACACCGACTGTCATACATCCCGCGCACTGGATACAAGGATCACATTATCACAAGGATATTGAATATTATCGTCGTGAATTATATTGTTGGATTTCTGCTTTAATTAATGAAACATTTTTCATGATTGCCTTCTAAAAGCATCGTTGAGAATAGTATTGGTAGCCTAATAATGAATGAGATGTTTCTTAAAAATAGTAAGATATAATTTTTTTAAATTTTCATTTTCATAGGATGAAATAATATGGAATATTAAAAAAAAGAGGTAGGTCTAAAAATTTGGAGTGGTGATATTGATTGATTTCTGTCTATTAAACTTCGATAAACAAGTAACCAAATTAATAACTATGCACTTACGGAAAAAGAAGATCCTTCAGGGAAAGCGATGTAACGTTTTCTTCTAGACAAAACCTTTGAAGATCGTCCCGCATCCACATGTGGTGAAACGCACGAAATAGTCGCAGAACTCAACAAAAATAAAACGCAAATTTTAATCATCATTGAAATACCCATCTGGGCAATGGATAATACTCATACGAAACAACATCCAACGAACACGTTAGTTCATAATCACACGTCCGAGATTATAATGGATGCAGAAATGGGATTAAGAAAGTGTGTCTATCTTCCGGTAACGGTGCAAGTATTAAAATAGTCGTGACTAGTTCGAAACGTGTTAATCGTTTTCAACGAAATCGTGAAAGGTCTGTTAAGATGTATTTGTTATACTTTTAAGTCAAATGGAACATTTCTCTATTACTTTCTGCCCACATATCGACAGTGTCTTTTATGAGATTAGTTATTAAAGTAAGAAAAATTATGATTTTTGCCATAATTTTCAAAGTCCTTAGTATACGAAAAAGCTAAAGTCCTCTTTGGATCACCATTACTCCAAGTGAAAAACTCTGAGCAGCTAAGTTACGATGTCCTTCATGAAATTTTCAAATAAGTGTAACCATGAGATGTGATGCGGTTAGCGTATTGGGATGATAATTTACGAGCGACCATCTGCCTATTTCTGCGGAGAACGCTCTGATCCGTTGGGTAAGCCTTAAAAACCAGTAACGGTTCACATTTATGTCTTTTGATTCCTTTGATTTTCTAAATTGTAAAATAAAGTATAATTTATCCCGCTACATATTATTCAATGAAACTTCAGTTCTGGTATAAGACAAATTTAATAAAAACTGGTTAAACGAAAAGCTTATCCAATCATCCAAAGTTGCTACTGAACAAAGCCCAAGGATTTCTCAAAGTATCCACATTAGGAGATGGAGCATTATAATATCCTTTGGCCCAATCCACCAGAGATATAGGACAGTTGAACATGGCGTCGCAGTTCTGAAGAAGGACTCCTAAGCGATGTGCTGAATCATAGATGGTGTGTTCGAGAGGCTCCGATGATAAAACTTTAACCATTGGTAATCTGAAAATTAAATTCATTAATTATGAAGTAAAATCGCATATTTAAAATGAAGTACCTTGTTGGTTTTGCTGAAACTAGAGTTTTATAAGCCCGCGTATGCGATAGCTGGCGACTAATCTACTTATTTTTGCTACGAAGCTATCATTTTGAAGGTGGAACAACCTTTATTTTGACAAGTTAGGAAAAGAGACGTTTCTACTTAATTGCACACAGTGTATGGCAGAACTATGTAATGCATAGAGAGAAAATGCATGTGATTATGAGAGGTATGGAAATGGTAGGGTAAAGTAGAAGGGGAAGAGGTCGACTGAAGAAGAAAAGAAGAGTGTGTGAATGACGATACGAGAGAGAGAGGAGTGAGTGTTGAGATGACGGCTGATAGAAGAGAATGGAAGAGAAAAATTAGCTGTGCCGACCCCACCTAGCGGTATAAGTTGGAGAAAAAGAAGACTATATGGCAGAATTCAATTTGTGATCTAATTTGGTAACCACTTTAAGTAGATAATGATTATTTCCAACTGATCATCAATTTGCAACAAAAAAATAACGAGCATAAATTTTTTCCTTCAATAGACAAAAAAACAGGTTACATTGAGGCGTTTATACTGTTTTCTCTTCAATAAATTACCTTACCATATATTAGATTACATATCTTAAAACTCACGTGAATAGCGAACGGAATACTTCTTCAACCATATTTTCTCCGTGAGGAACTATGCGCTGTGTCGTCTCACACAAAGTCTTTAGTATACATTGTCTACCGCTGTAACCCATGCTGAAAAAGCATTAAATGAGTAATAAAATATTCAATGCAATACATCTAATTTGCCTTACAATCCTCGCTGAGGATGCAAGGCCGTCGTAAGATTGACAGACTCGAAATGTGATGTTGGAGACGTCTCCTCAGAATTCCGTGGAACGCGCACTCTACCAACGTTTCGATCCTGAAAGAGCTCAACATCAAAGAGAAACTATAGTCAACGACTTTTTGGACTCAAATACGAATCCTCAAATTTTTCGGGCACATCACTCGTAATGAGGACTCTATTGAACGGTTGGTGGTGCACGGGAAAGTTGAGGGCAAAAGATCTCGCGGACGATCTCCAACACGATGGGCCGACCTCATAAAATCTGTGACTCACTCCAACCTAAAGGATTGCTCTCACTCTGCGAAACACTGTGCCACATGGCGTCGCATCGCGAGAGTATCGGTATCGCAGGATACGACTGATGTATGACCACAACCTCTCTGTTAAGAGCGTACGACTGGGAAGAAAGAATTTAATTTGCGTTATTCTGCCACGTCCATTGTCCTGTCTATTCCAATTTACAGCAAATCATCATGCCGTCGGTTTCGCTATCTATAAATAGCGACCAAAAATCTCAAGGATAGTGACCATGTTTTTTTTTGTTGGCGCCTGTAAATTTTGAACGTACCTGTCCAAAATAGTCTCAATCTTCTCATACAATTCCCTCCTACTTCTCCTCTGATGGACAGGTTTCTTGTATTTGTACTTTTGTGTGTAGAAAGCTGTGGTTTCGGTTGCATTGGGCAGTTCATAAGCAATGGCCCAGTTGAGCCCAAAGGTGAACGTGCCGGGGGCTGTCGATGGAGCCGGTTGCCCTATGAGACCCACAGTCATACATCCAGCACACTGAAAGACGAAAGTATTCAATGCTGCTAATATCGAGGTCGAGGTTGCTTGCTAAATCAGATGCTAGGAATACTGAATATATTCAGTTATGTATATATAGATTTTAGAATTAAGAAAATATTTTTTTTTGACTATTTTTTATTTCTTATATGGGTGGCCGACTGAAGCCCATAGACATCTACAACATAAATGCGCCGCCCACCTTAAGATAGTTCTAAGCTCTGAGTATAGTTACAACGGCTGCCTCACCCTTCAAACCGAAACGCATTACTGCTTCACGGCAGAAATAGGCGGGGTGGTGGTACCTACCCGTGCGGACTCACAAGAGGTCCTACCACCAGTAAAACAGGAAAACAGTTATGAAAGAAAAGTTTCGATGCAGATTTTTTCCTTGTTTATATGAGTAGACGAAGCTTACCGCCCTTCTTGCAAGTTTGATATTTATTCCACTACGTTATTTCTTCATTGTGGTATGGTCATATAATATTTACAATAACTTTACCGTTCAGGTACATGAATACACTAATATATCAAAAACTGTATTTCGTATTAAAGTATAATTATTGTAAGTTTAAAAAAAAGAATAATTAAACTGTTTTACTTAGCAAAGTCAGTTTCATCATTCGATGAAATTTTTATTTTCAATACTTACCGAAAAACTGGATCCTTCCGGAAATGCAACATATCTTCTTCTCCTTGACAATAATTTAGATTTAGATGGATAAATTTCATTACAAGCACCTAATATAACGTAACACATCAACATCATAATAATCCCTAGATGTCTTAGAATTATATTCATTTTACAGTTGAATGAAAAAAAAAATGAAAATCTGAAATCGAATTTAAAAAATTTCCTATTCAATTATGTTTCTTTTTTTCAATTCTTAGTCTTCAAACAGTCTTACAGTTTGAAAGTGGGATAAATACTGGTCAATTACTGCTAACAGTCGAAAAAATGTCACAAAAATAAATCAAGCAGTAACTGTTTCAGATGTATCTGCTAAAAGGTTTATTAGAACAATTTGCTTGTACTCGCGAAGTGTAACGAACTCTCATTGTTCTAAATAATGAAAGGCGTCTGTTTTACTTTCGAATTGTCGTCCTAAATTTAAATTTTATAGAAACTTCATATTCAACTAATGTTGATTTCGTAGCGAAATTTATATTTTTTAAATTATCGTAAACGGAGGAGACTTCATAGATAAGCAAACGGTATTTGTGTAATTCTAAGTCGTACTTTAAGACTACCAATAGATTAGCAGATTGCCAATTTTTAAATGATCCTGAATTTACTAATGATAAAATTAATTAAATTGATCATATCAGTGGTTCCTTCTTTTTTTTTATTGCTTAGATGGGTGGATGAGCTCACACCCACCTGGTGTTAAGTAGTTACTGGAGCCCATAGACATCTACAATTTAAATGCGCCACCCACCTTGAGATATAAGTTCTAAGATCTCGGTATAGTAACAGAAGATATTGGTACGCATGGTAGCTTAAAAATTTACCATTCTACTAGTACTCACGTCAATAAATAAAAATGCGAGTTTAATTGATATTACACGATGTTATGCTCCGTGGAAGTTATTCGTGAACATAACGCGCTAAGTACAACACGTTTTAATCATAATTAAAATAATTTCAATTTACACGAATACCCCGGTCGTCTCATCTCAGACGCAAATCGACCGATTTCCACGACGAGAGATTCGTTTTATTAAAATTTATTATTAGATTCACGAAAAAAGATGGCGCCTTTGATTAGATATTTTAGCAAACTTGAAAAATATATTTTTTTTAAAGCCACAATCACATCGCAGACTCAGACATGTTTCATGAAAGTTTAATGCAGTTCATTTGGAGAAGTGCAATCCTAAAATAGGCATCAATGTAATCCCCCGAGATCGTAGGTCTCCGACCCGAGACCCCTCTTATCCCCACAGTTTTAGCGTCCCGAAGATTTATGAAAAACATATATCACAGCCGTCGACATGTTGTCTTTACCATTGGCTCCCACAATTTTTTTAATGTTTCGATTAAAACTCTACATTTCCTCCAATGATTCAATGGACTATTCTGGGTAAGTCTAGATAGTCAATAGAGTAGAATAAATATTCATATTATCTAAACAGTAGCTCACGGGCGCAGAACTGTGATGTCAAATGAAAAGATGGCGAACGAGGAATGAAAGACTGAGCTAAGCTCATAACAATAATATGGTCACAAATCAACTATGTCTATTGGTGTCTAAACTAAAAACTTCAAATATACTGTCAATTTAATGTATATTAAGCTAACAAAAAGAGTTCATGAAGACAATATATGCATCTATCTAAAGGACACTATTTGGAAAAATGGACGGCTTATTGTTAAGATTTTTTTTTATTTTTTTTTTATTGTTTATATGGGTGGACGTGCTTACAGCCAACCTGGTGTTAAGTGGTTACTGGAGCTCCTAGACATTTACAACGCAAATGCGCCACCCACCTTGAGATATAAGTTCTAAGGTCTCAGTATAGTTACAACGGCTGCCCCACCCTTCAAGCCGAAACGCATTACTACTTCACGGCAGAAATAGGCGGGGAAATAGGCGGCGAGAACTCTTATTTGAGAAATATCTAGATTCATTGGAGTAACTAATGTAGTTTCGAAGAAGAAAAAAACCAATAAAGTAAATAATAATATAAAATAATGAACTAAATACTTAACTAACGGACTACCCCAATAATAGATAGGTACCTACTACAAAAAAACTAGAAAAATACAATGTAATCTTAAATCTTAAATGTTCCAAACCGAGCCAATGGTAAGGGCCTAAACCCATTGGTGTGTAAGACGATAACTATTTTAGGAATTCGTCGCTAAAAAGCTTTCTTGCCATGTTGCCAATTGAAGTAAATATATTATATACTGTACATTGTACGGTATATTGTATACTGTAGCACTGAACAATTTATTTACAAAATTTTAATTTTTATACATACATGGCTTTAAAAGAACATTCCCGAAGCTAATTCGAAATTAAGCTACTGTAGGTATCCGTTTAAACCAAGCATGACATTCATTTAGCTAAGGGATAATTAAATATCGATTTTTTTTATTTGATTCGATTTACAATATTTTCTCTAAAAATCACATTAGTGAAGAAATATCTACATTTTGGCGGCCATCTCCAGACAGTGAAGCTAGCTTTTCATGTAATACAAAAAATAGTTATAAATCTTTAGAGGGTATATGTCGGATAATAATAATAATACGGGAATCAACTAATAAAAAATACTCGAAAATACGAGCGTGAATATGTGTGTATGAATTTTGTGATATGTATAGTGTATGTATGAGTGTGATAGATAGCACACGTGTGTTTGCATGTGCGTATGCTGTGTGACTTTGTAACTTTCCTAGTGTGTATGTAGTTGTGGTATACATTCTACCCGATGATATACAGGCGAAGTAAAATGTCCCTTAGAAATAAGGTGACACTCTACAAAACTTGCATAAGCCCCGTCATGACCTATGCAAGTTTAGTGTTCGCTCACGCGGCCGGCACTAACTTAAAATCATTCCAAATCATTCAATCCCGTTTTTGCAGGATAGCCGCCGGAGCTCCGTGGTTCGTCAGGAACGTCGACCTCCATGACGACCTGAACTTAGAGTCCATCAGTAAGTATCTGCAGTCGGCGTCGATGCGCCACTTCGATAAAACGGCACGACACGAGAACCCTCTCATCGTGGCCGCCGGTAAGTACATTCCCGATCCTGCAACAAGAATTGAAAGCAGTCGACGTCGCCCCAAACACGTCATTTCGGATCCTCCCGATCCACTAACGGTGGTTTTAGGTACCTGAAGCACCGGTCATCGTTCTCGTCGAACCCGTCGCTTGCGACGAAGGGCTCGACGAGAAAATTAACCCTCAGACACAGCCCACTGAGATTCTCGCCGGATCTTCTCAGTGGGTCGCGTTTCCGATCCGGTGGTGGATTCTGCGAAGCACGGCTTTTGCTAGGGTTCGTGTTAGCAAATATGTTTAAACGCAAAAAATTGAGGTCAAATAACATAAATGGAGCGAAATTTATTAATGGGTTAGAAGTTTCATATTTCGTAGGCAATAAAACCCAAAAACCTATCGAACCGTACCGTACCGAACCGAACCGTATCGAATCAAAATTTTCATATTAAAATGAAACTTAATGTCAACAAGTCTCGTAGAAAAATAAAGTTTACACAGTAAATAATATGATCGATATTCAATGCAAATGCGTGTCGTATACTGGCGTTTGATCGATTTTAATGGATAGCCTAGTTCGTGAGGCCGTATCCTTTTTGTGGTCTATGGTACAAGCGGATGCCTTAAATATTTTGATTTAGTTTAAACTAGTGTCGAAATTCATTAGCATATTTTGCATATAAGGACAAACGATCCACCTAGGGTCATGAGGCAAGCAAAGCCCGTGAACATAACAACGCTATTGATTCTACGGTCTGATTTGAGGTATTAAGCTAAACTGTAAAGTCATAACTAACTGGCACTCTGTGTTTCAAACGAACAAAAATACTTCACAACAGAAGTAGTCAGGACGATTTTATATAATTATGTACTTGTGTGGCGCTATCTTTTATTTTATTTTATTTTTTATTGCTTAGATAGATGGATGAGCTCACAGTCCACCTGTTGTTACGTACGTATTTCATTAGAAAAATTGGTACCCGCCTGCGGGATTCGAACACCGGTGTATCGCTACATACGAATGCACCGGACGTCTTATCCTTTAGGCCACGACGACTTCGGATCTCTAATCAAACTTAATAATTATCAGGTCGCATTTTATCATTTTCCGATTTTCCGTTGTGGACGAAACATATGTCAAACAAGAAAGCAAATAAAAAAAAAAAAACAAGCAACTGAAATCAAAAGATACGAAAAATGTAATCGCTCGTCGCTCATACTTACACCACCTCGACCAAGAATGTTCTAGTTCATGTTACGGAATAATATCATTAGAATATTATACTTGATAATATTCCGTTGCAGCTCTCACGTGCCTACAAATTTCATTTAAATAAAAATGGACAAATATTAAATCATTGTGGAAAGCTTAAATTGATGGTGATTGCTGAATGACCTTACAGTTTACACAGTATTAAATGATTACCGAAATTTAGCTACCTTTTTTCCTACCTATTCTATTAACCTCGAGGGGTCATACTAGATTCACGGGGCCCTAACCTGATGGGTTACCTAGTGATATGAAATCGATACTTCAATCGAATGTTAGAAAGGTTGCCCCCTCTTCGAAAGACAACCCACAACTTTTGCGGTCGCAATTCTGCGGTAAAGATAATCAAAGTGGTGTGGGCTTATCCCACATTCCATGCACATACACATTTACTCTTCACAATATAAAACTTATATAATATATTTATTTCATATAATTATTAATACAGACAGAATATACATTCACACATATAACATATCTATTAATATATTATTACTACGTTATATATTAAAGACATACACACACGACAATTTATCGTGCCGCGTCAATCAGCTGGTCGCCCGTTCGTTCACGCGTTCGTACTTTATGAGGGCCAGTATAGGCTGGCGTAAGAGGAGGACGCGAAGCATCTTCACGTAGGAAGACGTACTCCGCGTTCTTGAGCTCTTTGAAAATAAAAATATTTTGTTTGTTATGGCGAGAAGCGGGAACCGGTTTTAATTTCTCGGCGAATGAGCGTAGACGAGCCGTAAAATCTGATAGATCAGTAGTACAGGCTGTGCTCGGCTCGAAAAATTCACCGGGAAGTCTTAACGGCTCGCCGTAAAGCAACTCAGCGGACGAAGTCTGTAAGTCCTCCTTGAACGCGCTACGGATACCGAGTAGTACAAAAGGTAGGACTTCTGACCAATTGTCGTTAGCGTGGCATACGATGGAAGCTTTTAACTGCCTGTGGAAGCGTTCCACAAGACCGTTACACGCGGGATGATAGGCAGTTGTGCGTTTATGTTGGAATCCAGTGGTTTTTGCCAGATACTGAAACAGCGTGGACTCAAATTGACGGCCGCGGTCTGTAACAATATGTGTCGGGCAACCAAATCGGGATATCCAGCCTGAAATCAGTGCCTTAGCCACCGTTTCTGCGGTAATATCAGATATGGGCATGACTTCCGGCCATCGAGTAAACCGATCTATAGCCGTGAGGCAATACCTGTATCCCTGTGATACCGGGAGTGGGCCTATCAGGTCTATGTGGACATACCTGAAACGTGCAGTTGGTGCGTCGAAAGTGCCCAATGGTGCAGACACGTGTCGACTAACCTTCGCGCGTTGGCATGATAAACATGACCTAGCCCAGTTTCGACAGTCTTTTCGGACCCCAGGCCAAACAAATCGATCGGCTACNTCCTACCCGTGCTTACCTACGGAGCCGAAACGTGGACACTGACTGTGCGACTAGTCCACCAATTAAAAGTTACTCAGCGAGCTATGGAGCGAGCTATGCTCGGTTTGTCATTGCGAGACCGAATACGCAATGAGGTCATTCGGGCAAAAACCAAAGTGATCGATATAGCTCGCAGAGTTAGTAAGCTGAAGTGGCAGTGGGTTGGTCACATATGTCGCAGAACCGATAACCGTTGGGGTAGACGTGTTCTGGAGTGGAGACCGCGAACCGGCAAACGTAGTGTGGGACGCCCTCCTGCTAGATGGAGCGACGACCTGTGCAAGGCAGCTGGCAGTAACTGGATGCGTAGAACCGAAGATCGGGTTCAGTGGCGAGCTTTGGGGGAGACCTATGTCAAGCAGTGGACTGCCGCAGGCTGATGATGATGATGATGATGAGGATACGACTGATGCATGACCACGACCACTATGTCAAGAGTGTACGTACGACTGGGAAGAAAGAATTTAATTTGCGTTATTCTGCCAAGTCCATTGTCCTGTCTATTCTAATTTACAGCAAATGATCATGCCGCCGGTTTCGAGAATACACAAGCTATCTATAAATAGCGACCAAAAATCTCAAGGATAGTGACCATGTTTTTTTTTGTTGACGCCAGTAAATTTTGAACGTACCTGTCCAAAATAGTCTCAATCTTCTCATACAATTCCCTCCTGCTTCTCCTCTGATGGACCGGTTTCTTGTATTTGTACTTTTGTGTGTAGAAAGCTGTGGTTTCGGTTGCATTGGGCAGCTCATAAGCAATGGCCCAGTTGAGCCCAAAGGTGAACGTGCCGGGGGCTGTCGATGGAGCCGGTTGCCCTATGAGACCCACAGTCATACACCCAGCACACTGAAACACGAAAGTATTCAATGCTGCTAATATCGAGGTCAAGGTTGCTTGCTAAATCAAATGCTAGGAATACTAAATATATTCAGTTATGTATATATGGTTTTTAGAATTAAGAAAATATTTTTTTTTACTATTTTTTATTTCTTATATGGGTGGCCGACTGAAGCCCATAGACATCTACAACATAAATGCGCCGCCCACCTTAAGATATAAGTTCTAATCTCTCAGTATAGTTACAACGGCTGCCCCACCCTTCAAACCGAAACGCATTACAGCTTCACGGCAGAAATAGGCGGGGTAGTGGTACCTACCCGTGCGGACTCACAAGAGGTCCTACCACAAGTAAAACAGGAAAACAGTAATGAAAGAAAAGTTTCGATACAGATTTTTTCATTGCTAATGTGAGTAGACGAAGTAGACGGCCCTTCTTGCAAGATTGATTTTTATTCCACTACGGTAATTCTTGTTTGTGGTATGGTGACATAATATTTACAATAACTTTACCGTTCAGCTACAAGAATATACTAATATATTAAAAACTGCATCTCGTATTAAAGTATAATTATAATAAGTTTAAAAAAATAAAAAATTAAACTGCTTTACTTAGCAAAGTCAGTCTCATCATTCGATAAAAGTTTTATTTTCAATACTTACCGAAAAACTGGATCCTTCAGGAAATGCAACATATCTTCTCCTCCTTGACAATAATTTAGATTTAGATGGATAAATTTCATTACAAGCACCTAATATAACGTAACACATCAACATCATAATAATCCCTAAACGTCTTAGAATTATATTCATTTTACAGTTGAATTAAAAAAAAATAATGAAAATCTGAAATCGAATTTAGAAATTTTCCTATTCAATTGTGTTTTTTATTATTCAATTCTTGGTCTTCAAACAGTCTTACAGTTTGAAAGTGGGATAAACACTGGTCAATTACTGCTAACAGTCAAAAAAATGTCACCGAAAAAAAATCAAGTAGTAACTGTTTCAGATGTATCTGCTAAAAGGCCTATTAGAACAATTTGTTTGTACTCGCGAAGTGTAACGAACTCTCATTGTTCTAAATAATGAAATGCGTCTGTTTTACTTTCGAATTGTCGTCCTAAATTTAAATTAAATAGAAACTTCAAATTCAAATTAATAATGTTGATTTCGTATCGAAATTTTTACTGGTGGTAGGACCTCTTGTGAGTCCGCGCTGGTGGGTACCACCACCCTGCCTATTTCTGCCGTGAACCAATAATGCGTTTCGGTTTGAATGGTGGGGCAGCCGTTGTAACTATACTTGAGACCTTAGAACTTGTATCTCAAGGTGGGTGGCGCATTTACGTTGTAGATGTCTATGGGCTCCAGTAACCACTTAACACCAGGTGGGCTGTGAGAACGTCCACCCATCTAAGCAATAAAAAAAAAACGTAGGAGAGTTCATAGATAAGCAAACGGTATTTGTGTAATTCTAAGTCGTACTTTAAGACTACCAAATTGATTAGCAGGCTGCCAATTTTTAAATGATCATGAATTTGACTAATGATAAAGTTATTTAAATTGATCATATCAGTGGTTCCTTCTTTTTTTTTATTGCTTAGATGGGTGGATGAGCTCACACCCACCTGGTGTTAAGTAGTTACTGGAGCCCATAGACATCTACAATTTAAATGCGCCACCCACCTTGAGATATAAGTTCTAAGATCTCGGTATAGTAACAGAAGATATTGGTACGCATGGTAGCTTAAAAATTTACCATTCTACTAGTACTCACGTCAATAAATAAAAATGCGAGTTTAATTGATATTACACGATGTTATGCTCCGTGGAAGTCATTCGTGAACATAACGCGCTAAGTACAACACGTTTTAATTATAATTAAAATAATTTCAATTTACACGAATACCCCGGTCGTCTCATCTCAGACGAAAATCGACCGATTTCCACGACAAGAGTTTCGTTTTATTAAATTTTATTATTAGATTCACGAAAAAAGATGGCGCCTTTGATTAGATATTTTAGCAAACTTGAAAAATATATATTTTTTTTAAAGCCACAATCACATCGCAGACTCAGACATGTTCCATGAAAGTTTAATGCAGTTCATTTGGAGAAGTGCAATCCTAAAATAGGCATCAATGTAATCCCCCGAGATCGTAGGTCTCCGACCCGAGACCCCTCTTATCCCCACAGTTTTAGCGTCCCGAAGATTTATGAAAAACATATATCACAGCCGTCGACATGTTGTCTTTACTATTGGCTCCCACATTTTTTTTAATGTTTCGATTAAAACTCTACATTTCCTGATTCAATGGACTATCCTGGGTAAGTCTAAATAGTCAATAAAGTAGAATAAATATTGATATTATCTAAACAGTAGCTCACTGGCGCAGAACTCTGATGGCAAATGAAAAGATGGCGAACGAGGAATGAAAGACTGAGCTAAACTCATAACAATAATATGGTCACAAATCAACTATGTCTATTGGTGTCTAAATTAAAAACTTCAAATATACTGTCAATTTAATGTGTATTAAGCTAACAAAAAGAGTTCATGAAGACAATATGTGCATCTATCTATCGAAAAATGGACGGCTTATTGTTAAGAGAACTCTTATTTGAAAAACATCTAGATTCATTGGAGTAACTAATGTAGTTTCGACGAAGAAAAAAACGAATGAAGTAAATAATAATATAAAATAATGAACTAAATACTAAACTAGCGGACTGCCCCAATAATAGATAGGTACTAAAAAAAAGTAGAAAAATACAATGTAATCTTAAATGTTCCAAACCGAGCCAATGGTAAGGGCCTAAACCCATTGGTGTGTAAGACGATAACTATTTTAGGAATTCGTCGCTAAAAAGCTTTCTTGCCATGTTGCCAATTGAAGTAAATATATTATATACTGTATATTGTACGGTATATTGTATACTGTAGCACTGAACAATTTATTCACAAAAATTTAACTAATATACATACATGGCTTTAAAAGAACATTCCCGAAGCTAATTCGAAATTAAGCTACTGTAGGTATCCGTTTAAACCAAGCATGACATTCATTTAGCTAAGGGTCAATTAAATATCGACTTTTTTTATTTGAATCGATTTACAATATTTTTTCTAATTAGTGAAGAAATATCTACATTTTGGCGGCCATCTCCAGACAGTGAAGATAGCTTTACATGTAATACAAAAAATAGTTATAAATCTTTAGAGGGTATATGTCGGATAATAATAATAATACGGGAATCAACTAATAAAAAATAGTCGAAAGTTCGAGCGTGAATATGTGTTGTATGAATTTTGTGATATGTATAGTGTAATGAGTGTGATAGATAGCACACGTGTGTTTGCATGTGCGTATGCTGTGTGACTTTGTATCTTATACATAGACATGCTTAAACGCAAAAAATAGAGGTCAAATAACATAAATGGAGCGAAATTTATTAATGGGTTAGAAAGTTTCATATTTCGTAGGCAATAAAACCCAAAAGCCTACCAAGCAATGGCAACTTAGATTTCAACAGTTATAGTTTTTATGATCTGTTTACGGCTCAGAAAAAAACTATCGCCTAAACTCAAAGATGTTTAGTGAAAATCCACTTCGATAAAGCGGCACGACACGAGAACCCTCTCATCGTGGCCGCCGGTAAGTACATTCCCGATCCTGCAGAAAGAATGGAAAGCAGTCGACGTCGCCCCAAACACGTCATTTCGGATCCTCCCGATCCACTAACGGTGCTTTTGGGTACCTCAAGCACCGGTCATCGTTCTCGACGAACCCGTCGCTTGCGACGAAGGGAAGAAAATTAACCCTCAGACACAGCCTACTGAGTTTCCCGCCGGATCTTCTCAGTGGGTCACGTTTCCGATCCGGTGGTAGATTCTGCGAAGCACGGCTTTTGCTAGGATTCGTGTTAGCAAATATGTTTAAACGCAAAAAATAGAGGTCAAATAACATAAATGGAGCGAAATTTATTAATGGGTTGGAAGTTTCATATTTCGTAGGCAATAAAACCCAAAAACCTATCGAACCGTACCGTACCGAACCGAACCGTATCGAATCAAAATTTTCATATTAAAATGAAACTTAATGTCAACAAGTCTCGTAGAAAAATAAAGTTTACACAGTAAATATGATCGATATTCGATGCAAATGCGTGTCGTATACTGGCGTTTGATCGATTTTAATGGATAGCCTAGTTCGTGAGGCCGTATCCTTTTTGTGGTCTATGGTACAAGCGGATGTCTTAATAAACATTTTGATTTAATTCAAAGTAATGTCGAAATTCATTAACGTATTTTGGGTATAAGAACAAACGATCCAGCTAGGGTCTTGAGGTAAGCAAAGCCCATGAACATAACAACGCGATTGGTTCTACGTTCTGATGTGAGAAATTAAGCTCAAATGTATAACTGACGTTCTATGTTTCAAATGAATAAAAATACTTCGCAACAGAAGTAGTCAGGACGATTTTTAAGTATAGGTATATACTTGTGTGGCGCTATCTCCAATCAAAATAATGACGTCAATCTATACTAATATATAAATCTACAGTGGTTTTTACGGATGTTCCGTTATAACTACTGAACCGTGCATCCGATTGACTTGAAACTTGGTATCTATGTAGAAAATTCATGTACTTAATGGATAGGCTACTATTTGTATGAGTGTTAGACTCCCTACACCAGTAAAGTTGCGGGGGCGTTAATGATGAGAATCTTTGTGGGCGTGAGAAATAATAATGTTAATTTTAAATGCCCAGCGAAGCGGACGGGTACAGCTAGTATTATTATATTATCCAAAGTGTAACATATTTTATAGTTAGTTATAGTTTTATTTACTATAACATTCAATATCATGATTGATTGGAATCGAGCTAAAACATTAATACAGCTACCAAAAATCCTAACAGAATAACACTATTTTTTTATATACCAAAAACGATTTCAGAAAAAGCCGTTCTGAATACGTTCATTGAACTTGAAGTAAGGAACAATTATAGCCATTAAGCTACATCAATATTTAGGATTTATGTTTAGGTTTCTAATTGAACGTGCATTTTCCATCTATATCTAGGTAATAAACTATATGCCCATTTCTGATTTGCGACCGATCTTCGCACACATTGTTCTTACTCATCAGTCACTAATCTTTAGTACAAATCTGAAGATGGCATTCGTAATTTTTAACATCTACTAGCTGCTTAAAACTCCTCTCTCGAAGTATCTGGAAAACTTTATCTAAGTTAGAGTTCAATTTGGCCTGGTAGATTAAAAGATATGCGTAACGTTAAATTATTTTGTTTATACTCATTTTTGATATGTGCAATATTTTTATATCTTTATCGATTATTAGTAGGACAAATGGTATGCAAAAAGAATTCGTAGGTTTTCTCATAAAATAGAATTACTTAAAACTTAACAATTATCAGGTGGCATTTTCTCATTTTCCGTTATAGACGAAACATATCTTTTTTATTTTTTTTATAGCTTAGATGGAAGGACAAGCTCACAGCCCACCTGGTGTTAAGTAGTTACTGGAGCCCATAGACATCTACAACGTAAATGCGCCACCCACTTTGAGATATAAGTTCTAAGGTCTCAGTATAGTTGCCCCACCCTTCAAACCGAAACGCATCGCTGCTTCACGGCAGAAATAGGCGGGGCGGTGGTACCTACCCATGCGGTCTCCAAGAGGTCCTACCACCAGTAGTATATGCCAAATAAGAATGCAAATTTCAAAAAAAAAACAAGCAACTGAAATCAAATAAAACGGAAAATGTAATAGCTCGTCGCTCATACTTACACCACCTCGACCAAGAATCTTCTAGTTCATGTTACGGAATAATATCATTAGAATATTATACTTGATAATATTCCATTGCACCTCTCACGTGCCTACAAATTTTAATAAAAATGGGCAAATATTAAATCATTGTGGAAAGCTTAAATTGATGCTGATTGCTGAATAACCTTACAGTCTACATAGTATTAAAAGATTACCGAAATTTAGCTACCTTTTTTCCTACCTATTCTATTAACCTCGAGGGGTCATACTAGATTCACCGGGCGAGTAGGTGAGCACACGGGGCTCTAGCCTGATGGGTTACCTTGTGATATGAGATCGATACTTCAATCGAATGTTAGAAAGGTTGCCCCCTCTTCGAAAGACAACCCACAACTTTTGCGGTCGCAATTCTGCGGTAAAGATAATCAAAGTGGTGCTAATATCTACTTGCGCATGCTTACAATACGTTCTACTAGAAGTGAATGCCAGTTGGCGATTGCAATGCGAGTCCAATAATAGTCAGGGAATGCTGCCGTTCATTCTTTGAATATTTTAGACGCCTTTTGCGACATCCATGATAAGAGTTAGGATACTGCCAAACCGAAATCGCTGATAATGTCATCGATTCCATAACTATGTTGGAAGAAGTCATTAGATTTAATTGTGGTAGGACCTCTTGTGAAGCAGTAATGCGTTTCGGTTTGAGGGGTGGGGCAGCCGTTGTAACTATACTGAGACCTCTGGGTCTGCGGAGGGACTTCGGTTCCCTCTGTATTTTGTACCGTATGTTCCATGGGGAGTGCTCTGAGGAATTGTTCGAGATGATACCGGCATCTCGTTTTTACTATCGCACCGCCCGCCACCGGAGTAGAGTTCATCCATACTACCTGGAGCCACTGCGGTCATCCACAGTGCGTTTCCAGAGGTCTTTTTTGCCACGTACCATCCGGCTACGGAATGAGCTCCCCTCCACGGTGTTTCCCGAGCGCTATGACATGTCCTTCTTCAAACGAGGCTTGTGGAGAGTATTAAGCGGTCGGCAGCGGCTTGGCTCTGCCCCTGGCATTGCTGAAGTCCATGGGCGACGGTAACCACTCACCATCAGGTGGGCCGTATGCTCGTCTGCCTAAAAGGGCAATAAAAAAAAAATAAAAAAAAAGAGACCTTAGAGCTTATATCTCAAGGGGGGTGGCGCATTTACGTTGTAGATGTCTATGGGCTTCAGTAACCACTTAACATCAGGTGGGCTATGAGCTCGTCCACCCATAAAAAAGATAGGTTCCAAGTCCATAGGTTTCCAAGTATAAGAAGTATCAAAGTTTGTGATTCCACTTTTTCTCATGTAGCGGCAGTGGCTCATCAATTCAAACTCGTTCAGTTAGTCTAAATGAAAACAGTACAACAGAAAAAACTGAACCTTAACTTTATTGAATTAAGTTTTAAATTTATTTAATTCAAGTACAAAATCAAGAAACGAGAACGTACAATCATTGATTTGACTACAGATATCAGGATCCGAAAGTTCCGTGTACGCGATGCCGATTTCTTTGTGGAATTCCTCATCGTGTAGGGGTGCTCTGTAAATAAAGGATAATTTATTGTGAGACGTCGTGTGAAGGTGTTAAGGTACAGTTTACGTTGTTCGTGAATTAGTTATTGCTCGAAATAGCCTCAACAGCGATTTTCTTTGTAGTGCGATCTTCTATTTATCTATATATCAATACATGAAGCAAACACGAAGCACTTTATACCAATTTTTAAGAAAATTGCGCACACGGAGGAGTAAGAAATTTCCCACACTTATAGAGAATATCACTATCAGGAGTGTAAAATGCTATTTTTTTTTAATTATATATTAATAGTACATTAAATCAATAAAAAAACATTACACACACTACCATGTATTTGGCACACACTCATTTATGTGTATTCTATGTTTATTGTCAAATTTTTGTTGCTTATAGTCTGTGGTCAAATTGAGAAAAGGTTAATATTGTTTATTGTCTATAGTGTAGTCTTGACGTAATATGTGATTATAGAAGTATAATATATAGCCTTTGACAATAGAACCATAATAATGTTCAAACTTAAAATTTCAATTAATTAAAGTCGAATTTCGACTACTGCGGCACCACTAGTCCCTTTAAAAACAAAAACAAATTGAATGATGATTAAGACATATTTTAATTTATGTACGTATTTTTTTATGAATGTTTCATTGGTTTCCAGTTTAATTACTCAGATCTCAGATCTGGTCTGCCCGACCAGACAGTCATCTGGCTTAAAATGCCTATCAGAAGACTGCCGGCACTAACCTTAACACAGGTTCAGCTATCAAATGCATTTTGCGTAATTACTGGTGGTAGGACCTCTTGTGAGTCCGCATGGGTAGGTACCATCACCCTGCCTATTTCAGCCGTGAACCAGTAATGCGTTTCGGTTTGAAGGGCGGGGCAGCCGTTGTAACTATACTGAGACCCGAGACTACCTGAGACTCATATCTCAAGGTGGGGGGCGGCATTTATGTTATAAATGTCTATGGGCTCCGGTAACCACTTAGGACCACGTGGGCTATGAGCTAGTCCACCCATCTATGCAATAAAATAAAAAGCATTGCACTACGGGCGTAATCAAGACAGCCAATATACAAATGGAACTACGATTTCGGTCTTGTGTTTCAATGAAGACGGTATTTACGCTGTGAGTATGAACTTCGGTGACCTCTTAGCAGACCACGAGCTCAAACATGTCCACTACTTGTTGTTACTGATGGTAGGACCTCTTGTGAGTCCGCACAGATAGGTACCACCGCCCTGTTTATTTCTGCCGTGAAGCAGTAGTGCATTTCGGATTGAAGGGCGGGACAGCGGTTGTAACTATACTGAGACCTTAGAACTTATATCTCAAGTGGGTGGTGCATTTAGGTTGTAGATGTCTATGGGCCCAGTTACCACTTAACACCAGGCGGGCTGTGAGCTCGTCCACCCATCTATGCAACAAAAAAATTTAAAAATGGGGTTACATATATTTCGTCAAACACAAGTATAAATTTTTAAGTTCAGATTAAAATCGCACTACCTTGCATAATAATATGGCTCCTACGATATAATTGTACAAGTTGCTACTTATTTTGTATTTTCTTGTATATCTTTAGTATTTATTTGTATTTAATCGTATGTAAGTCTATCTTATATTGTATTTATGCACATGTGTATAATATAACTATATATTTTTATGTAAGTTTATTAAGATATTGCACTGTCCATGCTAGTTTGAATATTCCTCTCCCTGTAAGGTTGCCTGGAAGAGATGGCTTTCAGCGACAAGGCCGCCAAATTATGTTTAAATGCTTACTCTGTACATGTGGAGTCAAACAAAGAGTTATATTATTATTTATTTACATTTATTTGAATTCTTATTAATTACATAATATTTTTTAAAAAAGATATTAAAAATACATTTTTTTTAAAAACACTATATAAAAATTATATTATTATTATTTATTTATATTTATTTAAAATCTTATTAGTTACATAATATTTTTTAAAAAAGATATTAAAAATACAATTTTTAAAAAACACTATTTATAAAAATAGATTGCCGCTGATGGCGGTGTCTACGACACAAGCCACCAGTGGTTAGGACTCCAGAGCGAGAAACCATTATAATAAATAATGATTGAAAACGCTCCGCTTGTGAACTAATCTCACCCCGTTCTGCGTCTGCGGATAATGCGATAATATTAGGGTGTTCCAATGGTTGTAGTTTGAAGGGTTATTGTACTATTTGGATGAAAATTATATCGTTTAAGGCGTCTATATTTTATCCTAGGATTTTCGTTCCGTAATATAAATCTAGCGGAGAGTCTCTCAGGAGATTCTGTTCGATGTTACGTGGGTCAGAATTTAGATGGTGGTTTAGTTGTTCTGTATAACGACAGCACAATTCTTGCGATATAACTAACTATTACGATATAACTATGAAGTCATATAAAAGGATAAGACATCCGATGCATTCGTATCGAGCGATGCACCGGTGTTCGAATCCCGCAGGCGGGTACCAATTTTTCTAATGAAATACGTACTTAACAAATGTTTACGATTGACTTCCACGGTGAAGGAATAACATCGTGTAATAAAAATCAAACCCGCAAAATTACAATTTGCGTAATCACTGGTGGTAGGACCTCTTGTGAATCCGCACGCCCCGCTTATTTCAGTAATGTAAGCAGTAATGCGTTTCGGTTTGAAGGGTGGGTCAGCCGTTGCGACTATACTGAGACCTTAGAACTTATATCTCAAGGTGTGTGGCGCATTAACGTTGTAGATGTCTATGGGCTTCAGTAACCGCTTAACACCAGGTGGGCTGTGAGCTCGTCCACACGTCTAACTCTGAGTAATGAACATTTGGCGAATGGTATATTGGATTTCCTTTGGTGTCCGTTCCTCTAGTTTACTCAACATCAGTTTACGAATCTGTAGTTATACTGAAATATTTATGGAAAATGCATGATGAAGTGTTCGCAAAATAAGAATGTGGTTTATTATTGAAAGTTGTTTTCGTTTGAATCGTTCGAAATATTTGTCTATACTAAAGTTATAAAGCTGAAGAGTTTGTTTGTTTGTTTGAATGCGCTAATCTCAGGAACTCTACTGGTCCGATTTGGAAAATTCTTTCAGTGTTAGATAACCCATTTATTGAGGAAGGCTATAGGCTATATAACATCACGGTAAGATCAATACAAGTGGAGCACCAATAAATAATGGTATTAAAAATAGGGGTTTAAGTAGCTCCTTAATATTCTATAATTCAAAAATATTTTCAATTTCTACGTAAATGAAGTGGGGGTAAAATTTAGCGTTGTTCCAAAGTTCCACCCGGACGGAGACGCGGGCAAAAGCTAGTTTTAATTAATAAAGAAAATTCAAATGAATCCAACACTGCTTCGTGGTAGTAATAGGTAAGCAGAATAGCACTGCGTACCCGTGCTTCCAATTATTATGCTATACCAATAGTACAAAATATCATGCAACGTTCATTAGTTTTGAAATACCAGCACGATTGGTCATATCTTCTGCAGACGCTCGGAATGCGTCACACCCACCCTGAGAAGATGCTCTCATGATTTATGATCAACTGCACACCCGGAAATTTTAAAACTTTTTTTTTTTTTTTATCTTCAAAATATATTTTTTATCAAGTTCCTTTGTTTCTTAATTTATCTTTTAAGTGCATTAAGACATGGCCCGAGCATTATCTGCAATGAGTTTGGTACTCGTTTCATGATTTTCCAGTAAGGTTGAAGTTTTTATTTGTAACTAGCTGACCCGGCAGACTTCGTAATACCTCAATCGATAAACAAAAGACCTAAACTTTTGTATAAAATAAACTTAAAACAAACAAAAGGAATCCGTCCGTCAGCGGACACATCAAAGGAAAAACAAAATTGTTATTTTTCCAAGCATTTTCATATCTAACTACCTTTTAAGCCTTCTCTGGACTTCCACAAATAATTCAAGACCAAAATTAGCCAAATCGGTCCAGCCGTTCTCGAGTTTTAGCGAGACTAACGAACAGCGATTCATTTTTATATACAGAGATATAGAAGATAGAAGATGTAGTTAGTTTGTTTATGCAGTATCTTCTCTGTTCACAATGTTCAATACGGAATTAATCCATGTTGCTACGTAACTACTAGCGTACTGCTAAGAGGCGATACGAATTCGCAGGAGTAAGTACCGTAGTATTTACCCCAGACGCAGCAGTCAAGCGTGCCGACTTGATGACAGCCATTACACAATACAATCTGGTATTAGACTTGATGTCGCAAGGTTGTTGGCGACATTTACGTATTAAGTCTATGGACTCGAGTCCCCAAAGCAGCCTAAAGCACAAGACGGCCGGTGCCTGTCTTCAAATCAGCACACAAGTACCAATTACTTCTAATGAAATGCATACTTGACAAAATGTTCACGAATGGCTGCCACGATCAAGGAATAACGTCGTGTAATAATAATCAAGCCCGCCAAAATTAAAATTAGCGTCATAACTGGTGGTACAGGGTTTTTTTTTTATTAATTTTTTTTTTTTTTTTTTTTTTTTTGAGTTTAAAATTGAAAGTTTACTGGTGGCCCGAAGGCCTTTCCAGTTTCACCAGGACAGCTGGGCGAGCAAAGGCTCAGCCAAGAGGGGTGGGATTTGCTAACAACTGCCCGAGCGCCTCCGAAGGAGACCTAACAACTCAAGAGCAATTGTTTCGCGAATGAATCTACTACCGGATCGGAATCGCGACCCGCTGAGAAGATCCGGCGAGAAACTCAGCGGGCTGATGCATGGGTTAGGTTGCACGTCGACCTCTTTGTCGAGTTCGACGAGTACGGTTACCGGGGTCCCTAAGCCTGCCCCTAGTATTAGAGCTGAAGGCATCTAATGCAAAGGTTATTGGATCTGATGGATCCGTAAGGACGTGTCTAGGGCGTCGACGGTGACTGGCTCCTGCATGATCAGGATTCGGGGAGTAGTCAGCGGCGGCAACGATA